AAAACGTTCTCGCACAGGAGATCTCCGAGATTGTACAAATCACAGACGACCACAAGAACAAGGAAAGCCCCTCAGAAGCCCTGAGCTCCTTGACCATTCCCACTGGGCCACACGACTCGATGCCACTTCAGTACACTGTTCCCATGTCCGAATACTCCCCGACTGTCTGCAGCAGTCAGTACTCGTTACCCACGACGCCTATTGTCCCGCAAGCTCCTGGACTGCCGCACTCGCAGAGCATGTTTTTCCCACGCGAGGCACAGTACCCCCGGATGATGAATCCCACTCCTGCGACTCAGGCTTCGAACCAGGCTGGTATGGGCTTCTATGGTGCTGCAATGCCGGCACCTGCGCCTACACAACAATATGCCACTCACCAGCGCGGTCAAAGCTACTTTTCACCAACCATGCTCAGTCCCACAGGGGACCAGATGTCGGCTCAGGCTGGTTACGCCCTTCACCGCCCTCATTCTTTGGATAGCTTCCCGCAAGCGTACAACTTTCAATTCTCAACACAACAGTCGTATCCTCAGATGTACTCGTCACAGCCGCCATCACGTGCCACCTCTCGGCCAGCATCGCCAACATGGGACCAAGGAAGGGGCGCGAAGAAGATGCGCGCTCAGCCTGGGTTTATGTTGTATGAGGACTTTGAGGAATGAGATCTTGACGATACGAAAGCACGAATTATGAATACAAATACGGCGCCATGTACAGCGGGCATTTGAGTGGCGTTTTCGGAGTTCTTCACTTTGATGTTTGATGATGATCTGGGTGGACGGTTTTCTGACATGAAACAATTCTAGCTTCGGCCACTTTGGTTTCTGGAAAAAGCGTTTGTTCCACATGAAATCTCATCTGTACTTTTCTTCGCTGTCAGATGTCGTTCTTACGGGCGAATCAGCCATAGACTTTGTTCTGTTACTATAACTTTAATTACTAGACCAGATCATGTATCAATTCTCCTTACTACTAGTTCCCTCACGAGGACTGGTAGATTCAATGAATCGTTTTACAATCAGCATACATATCGTGCAGGCCTCAGTGCGTGATCTTCAGCAGAACAGGGCTGAGAAGGCGCTATAGGTTGTACCACCCTAGATCATGATATTTTATTTGTCCTGGCTTGGCTAATTCCAGCTCACAAGACATCTGCAGGATATTCATCAATGCCACCCCATTGCATGAACAATGCATACCTAGTACAGTTTCGGAGAGATGTGTGATTACGAAAAACAGCAAAAATTGATTGAGAATTTTAATTCGCAGCATTCGCAGTGCTCGCTTGGTTGCAAGAACGGGAGTTTGCATATTGGCTTCAGCTCATCCGATGCAACAGCACTACGAACATTATGGAATCGGACGGAGCCAATGGATACAGACGGGCAGAATATGGCAACATGGAGACCTAAAACAGAATTACTGAGAAAAATTACTCCTTCACACCCTTATCGCCAACAAGCGATAGTAGTCAACTCCCACAGTAAAGGCCTATCGTGTGCTCGCATCACCTTCCTTCAATTCGCCCGGCTCGCTACAACAAAACGTGTTCGATGCCGGAATGCTGGTATACAGCGGCCGAGCTACGGAAGTTAATATATGGTAAATTGGATGGTGTGGGATGCGCACCACATACGTCGATAAGAAGCAACCGGCAAGCTAAGCAGCATGTGCCCTCATGGTTCAGAACGCGAACGTCGCAGGTACCCGAGCATGACCGTATGTTGAGCTCCTTTGATTTTTGGCCATCAATATGAACAAGGCATAGCATGACCTGAGCCTACCCCTTTCCATTCGACACTCGGACGGATGGATGTCTAAACAACCTTTCTTCGGGACCAGGGGCGTTTAAGCAAGTTAGGATGATGGCGCTCTCATAATGTGTAGTGCAGAATCTCATCGAACGGCAGATCATTATCTCATTGTTGTACCAAAAACTATATGTTGTGTCACCAACACGCATTCATTCAATTCATCCGAATCCTTCCCAGAATAGCCGACCAAGTCAAAACCCGAAAACAAAAGTAAGAACCCCAAACACCATTTCGAACTCCCAAGATACAGAGATAAGGGGAGACATTAAAAACAGAGAGGCTTCGCAGCACATGCTGGGGGCGAATGGGAGCCAAATAGTCCAGATAGAGTTGAGGTGAGCTTTCGAAACACCAGGACCGGACTGTATCAATAGCAAATATTATCGCCCTCGGCTCTTGACAGAATTTGGGGCGCCGAGATGCACAATCAGAAGAGCTGCAACGGCCCGAAGCCGCGCTTGCTTGCGTATAAGCTGGGTCTGCTATATCCGAGTATGCATGGCACGCCTCTGCGCCCACTGGGCGCCGTAAGCAGGCCGGAAGACAGGCCTACACACCCCCTCGTGTTCTTCTGCGGGCTTCTGCGGTGCTCCCGCAACTTGGTGGCGCGATCCCGTAGCACACTGTAGGCTAAAAGCCTGCAGCACTAGCTTTCCTGTATTCTTGGAAGTTGGCGGTGCCGCTGGCAATTGTTGGATCTTCTTGGCTACGTAGCTCTTCCTCGAATCGTTCTTCTTCTTGCGCGTGGGCAGCTTCGAATGCGGCAGATTGGCCACGGTGGAAGTACAGAGGTGCGCGTTTGAGGAGGGCTACGTCTTGTGTTACGAGAATGTGCTTGACGCTTGAGCCTGGTTTGATCAGTCTTCTGAATTTATCTTTGAGGTGAAATGAAAATTACCGGGTGTTTCATATTTGGCTTGCAAGAGGAGCTGGTCGACGACGTGTCGTAGTCCACGAGCACCTGTGCCCATCCGACCCGCTTTCCGTGCGATTTCACGAAGCGCGCCGTTGGTGAAGCGCAGTTCGATGTTCCTGAGATACGACTTGTGCTCTTCCTGTCGTATTAGACTATCTTTGGGCTCGGTAAGAACGCGGACAAGAGCTTCCTCGTCCAAGGCCGCCACTGCGCAGACTGTGGGTATCCGACCTATGAGCTCAGGTATCATGCCAAACTTTTGCAGGTCTGCTGGCTGCACATGGTCAAGTACGTTGATCCTCTCCTCTCGCTGAATCTGCCTGACGCCGAAGGGATTAGGTACGTCGTTCTTCGGAGGTACGAAGAATGGCGAGTCTTTTTTGAAGGATTCAGCCTCGGGGCCAGTGAGCATGACACCGTCGGCGGCGGCATGCGCATTCGATGTCCGTATCGACGCTCCAAAGCCCATACTACCCTTTGACTTCCTGTCCAGGACGATCTTGTGCAAATTGGAGAAGGCGCCAGTGCATATAAAGAGGATGTTGTCAGTTCGTATGTTGAAAACCTCGCCTTTGTTTCCACCAGGCCCGGGAGGTTGAGGACCACCAGGCATACCGCCGGGCTTGTTTGCGCTCTTCTCTGGCTTTGCTTGCACTTGGACGGTTGTGCCCTCGATGATTTTCAGGAGCGCCTGCTGGACACCTTCGCCACCGACATCCTTGCCGTATGACATCTTGGACCCTGCGATCTTGTCGATTTCATCGAGAACGATGATGCCATGCTCAGTTGCGTCGATATCATAGTTGGCGGCCGAGAACAAGCGGGCTACGCAAGACTCGACATCGTCGCCAATATATCCAGCCTGTGTGAAGGTAGTGCAGTCGGACATGGAGATGGGCAGGCCCAGCGTCTTTGCCAGCGTCTTGCACATCAGTGTCTTGCCTACACCAGTTGGACCAAGTATAAGCACATTGGACTTTTCTATCTGCAGCTGGCGCTCGCTGGTATCGAGCAAGGAATCAGAGTCGGGGGCAGTGGACGAGGCTGGTTTGTAGGCAGGTGCTTCGCTGTAGGGTAGAGGGTCACTGTGACTATGCAGTTCTACGGTGGACTGCTGACCGGGGAACTCGTCTGCTCTGCTACTCAGCCATGGCAAAGTCTGGGGATGAGAGCTGAAATCATGGATGCTTGGATCAAAATGAGATTTGGGGCTACCTTCTACAGGGTGTCTGTATACAGATGCTCTCCTCTGCGCCTGCGCCTCGAGTCTAGCCTGCTCATGATGTTGCCTTTTGATTTCCTGGATTCGGAGATGATGCTCGTGGACGGCTACGCTCAATACTATCTTTGCGCGGTCCTGGTCGACGACGAAGTGGTCCAGATGCTGTCTCAGGACCTTGGGCGTGATGAGACCAGCGCCCACATTGCTGGTGTTGCCCAATGGGCCTCGCGTGGGCTGATCGGGCTCATAGAAGGAAGAGAAGCCCTGGCCGCTGAAGTCGGAACGGTTGAATCGGGAGGATCTGCGCGTGTGCGACTGGGACAAGGGTGCACGGTGCGAGATGCTATAGAGGGCGAGATAGGACGCGCGGGCCTGGGGCGAGACGGCAACGGGGAGCGCGCGCTGGAGGGTCCGTGGCAACATCATGGTGGAAGAGGAGAGCGCAGAGGAATTCACACTACAGAAGTTGCGCGGGCATCGAGGGCATCACGAGGGCTTTAATGGACTCACGATGGCGCCGGCTGCGCTCGAGGCTTGGAAGCAACCGTGGTTGAGCCGCCGCGAGCTCCCCACGTTAGAAGATGCGGGGAGGTCCCCACGGTTCCCGATGATGCCGATAAGGGCCTCCTTGCCGCCGACCGCGCGCGCGCGCGTCGGTGCTACGACTACCCAAAGGTAGTCTACAAAACCATGTGATGCCCCGCCAGGGTCTTCGCGCATCGCATCCACAGCTCGGATGCAGATGCGACGAATTGTAGCGCAAATCCTCCCGACACGCACCCCCGTCGCAGCGTAGATACCGCTGTTGGGACAAGTGGCGTGGGCGCGATGCCCGTTACAGCGTGCTCGGAGCTATGACGTTGATTGTTGGGTTGGCAACGAACTTTTGGTTGAGCGCTGCGCTCAGCAATCGGGTTAGAGACCCCGCAAATTCGAGATCATCTCTGCAATTCATCTGGCAGGCTGTCTCTGTGAAACCTGCATCTGCTCGCTACCATCTCCTCTGGTAGCAAACTTCACAGCTCCCTTCCTCCCACCATCCCTCACCATGGAGCTCAACAAGGCTTCAGCAAACTCGACCCTGAGCGACACACCCGGGCAGGTCCCAAACGATGGAACTGGTACACACCGCTACTCTGTTGCTGCTGCCAATTGACTGACCCAATCGCTCCCAGGCATCATCCAGATGGATGGCTACCTTGAGCCTTTCAAGGACGCGCTGAAGAGCCGCTTCTCCAAAGCACAGAAGTGGATCCAGACCATTGAAGAGACTGAGGGCGGTCTTGACAAGTTCTCGCGGGCAAGCTCCATGCATGCCTCCACGAGCGCCGTGTAGCTAACACCGCGCAGGGTTACGAGAAGTTCGGCTTCAACGTCCAGTCCAATGGCGACGTCGTCTACCGTGAATGGGCCCCGAATGCCCTGCGCGCCTACCTCATTGGTGACTTCAATGACTGGAACCGCGATGCGACTCCCATGACCAAGAACGACTTCGGTGTCTTCGAGGTTACCGTGCCTGGCCAGAATGGTCAGCCCACCATCCCCCACGACTCCAAGATCAAGGTATCCTTCGTCGTCCCCAACGACCATGCGCGCCAGGAGCGCCTGCCAGCCTGGATCACCCGAGTGACCCAAGACCTCAATGTCTCCCCCGTATACGACGCCCGCTTCTGGAACCCTCCCCAGAAGTACGTCTGGAAGAACCAGCGACCGCCCAAGCCCCAGAGCGCGCGTATCTACGAAGCCCACGTTGGCATTTCCTCCCCCGAGCCCAAGGTAGCGACTTACAAGGAGTTCACACGTGATATCCTCCCGCGCATCAAGCATCTAGGATACAACACTATACAGCTCATGGCCGTCATGGAGCATGCATACTACGCGAGTTTTGGTTACCAGATCAACAGCTTCTTTGCTGCAAGCAGCCGCTATGGCTTCCCAGACGATCTGAAGGAGCTCATTGATACCGCGCATGGAATGGGCATCACAGTCTTGCTGGACATGGTACACAGTCACGCATCTAAGAACGTGCTTGACGGTCTCAACATGTTTGACGGCAGCGACCATCTCTACTTCCACGAGGGTGCCAAGGGACGACACGAGCTGTGGGACAGCAGGCTGTTCAACTACGGTCATCACGAAGTCCTGCGCTTCTTGCTCAGCAACTTGCGCTTCTGGATGGAGGAGTACCACTTCGACGGTTTCCGATTCGACGGAGTCACCAGCATGTTGTACACTCACCACGGCATCGGAACGTGAGTAATCAACTTAGCCTTTGACTATCAAACACTAATTGAATCAGGGGTTTCTCAGGCGGCTATCACGAATACTTCGGTCCTTCAGTTGACGAAGAGGCAGTTGTGTACCTTATGATCGCCAATGAGCTTCTGCACACGCTCTACCCTGACTCCATCACAATCGCCGAAGACGTGTCCGGTATGCCTGGTCTCTGCGTGGCACTCTCATTGGGCGGAATAGGATTTGATTACAGACTAGCTATGGCTGTACCCGATCTTTACATCAAGTGGTTGAAGGAGAAGCAGGACATTGACTGGGACATGGGCGCGCTTGTCTTCACCTTGACAAACCGAAGGCACGGCGAAAAGACCATTGCGTACGCAGAGAGTCACGACCAAGCGTTGGTCGGAGATAAGACTCTGCTCTTCTGGCTTTGCGACGCGCAAATGTACACCAACATGTCGATTCTTTCAGAGCTCACCCCCGTCATCAACCGAGGTTTGTCCCTACATAAGCTGATCCGTCTGATCACGCACGGCCTGGGAGGTGAGGGCTACCTGAACTTCGAAGGCAACGAGTTTGGCCACCCCGAGTGGCTCGATTTCCCGCGCGAAGGCAACAACAATAGCTTCCACTACGCTCGCCGCCAGTTCAACCTTCCAGACGACGAGCTTCTCCGCTACAGATTCCTCAACGAATTTGACAGCAAGATGCAGTGGACAGAGGAGAAGTACGGATGGCTCCACTCGCCTCAGGCCTACGTCAGCCTTAAACACGAGGGCGACAAGGTCATTGTGTTTGAGCGTGCTGGACTGCTGTGGATCTTCAACTTCCATCCTCAGGAGAGCTTCACTGACTACCGTGTTGGTATTGAGCAGGAAGGTACCTATCGCATCGTTTTGAGCACTGACAGCAAAGCCTTTGGTGGGCACGGCAACGTTGACGAGACTACGAGGTTCTTCACCACGCCATTTGCGTGGAACGAGAGGAAGAACTTCTTGCAGGTGTACATTCCTAGCAGGACTGCGATCGTAAGTGGACTACTATCTGAATCTACATTGATTGCTTGCTAACCCAAGGACAGGTACTTGCGCTTGAGAATACTCTATAAGAGACCCTGAAAGATGGGCATGCGGCAAGATGCTGAAGATTAAATTGAAGGGTTGACCCACTCAGTGAAGTGGTCGTGTCGTACAGTGTGAAAAACGACATGTGTGTCGATAAGATAATAGAAGACGTTTGCGCATTAGTTCTGAGCCTTTTATTCGTGAATACTGGTTGGTGTACCTCTGATTCGTCCATACTATAGGTACGGGTAGCCTCGTACGCGTAGCTCGCTTCTCCGAGCCCCGAACTCCGTTATGTCCGACCTTTTGTACTCGCGTCATCATCCCGGAACACTTTCCGAAGCTTCTATACAATTTCCCTGTCGCCCCGTCTGGCGTTGTAACATAGCAACCATGTCTTTCACTCGAATTCCTCGGGCTGCTATACCGCACGCCTTCCGCTCCTTCTCTACAACCCGTGCGCGATTCCAATCTACAATACCCTATATCCCATCATGCCCGTCACCAACCTGTGAATGCGCAGCAGCGCCTCCTGATCTAGACATTGATCGCAAAACGCCATTGCTGAATACCATGGCGGCGTACTCTGAACAGGTCATCTTCTGTACAGGAAAAGAAGACTGGGTTAGCAACATCGAACAGGAAGAGGGTGAAACTGGGGAGTTTGTGAGAGGGCTCAAAGGTGTGATTGGAAAGGGCGGTCCTGGGTTTGATGTAGGTCTGTTTCCCGATGAGTTCATCTTCTGCTGCGTCGGAAACTGACACGCTCTCGCCCCATAGCCTTTTACCAATGTCCTCATCACTGCTTCTTCGCTACCGAAGAGTGAAAAGATCGGCGCAACAACGGCTTTACTGTTTCCGAGTTTCAAACGTATACCGAATATTCCTCACACGCCCGAAGCCTTCTCGAATTTTGCGACTGCGTATCTGAAAGCTCGAAAACTGCATTCTATGCACGATGGTCTCTCTGCTGAGCAAAAGGCCAACCTCCTCCGCGACGAGTCGAAAGCAATCGAACTACCAGAGGCGGAAAACATTACGAAACCCACAGTATTGATCTGCGGACACGGCGGCCGCGATCAGCGATGCGGCATTCTTGGGCCTTTGTTGCAATCCTCGTTTCGGTCCGAGTTCAAGCGTAGGCGCATAGATGCGGATGTAGGCCTGATAAGTCACATTGGAGGGCACAAATACGCGGGAAACGTCATCATTTATCTGCCTCCCAGTATTGAAGATAACGCGCTGAAGGGATCGGGCATCTGGTATGGTAGAATTGGACCTGAGAATGTTGAGGGTGTGGTTGAAGAGACGGTGGTCAAAGGACGTGTCATCACTGAGTTGTTGAGAGGGGGTGCCATTCAAGACGGAGGCAATATTGGGAGGATGATCGAGACACAACTGAAAAAAGATAGCGGAGAAGAGGACAATGGGACCCTGAGACTAAAGGCTAGGGCGAGAGGCTAAGTGGAGGCTTGAATGCACATGATGGGATGGCTGATGGCTTTTGATGAGCATACTACAGCAACATCGCTGGATAGAGGTAATCTAAAAAGTCACATTCTTAAACCAATGCAAGAGACTAAAGGCTGTGGATGTCAAGGTTTTTACGGTTTCAAAAGATGTATCGATGTTGACTTGAACAAGAAGAGGGATAGGGTGAATAACAGGCTCATGGTCCTCAAAAACCTTAGTATCTGACCAAACATAAGCTACGACCAAACCCGTCTAAGTTTGACCATGAAAATACTAGGGCCTATTACGAAGCTTCTGGGATTGGGCTGTGATTGAGAGGCAATTCGCACGTCGGCCATTACATGGCAATCTGAGTGTTCCTTACTTCGCACCCTCAATCATCCTGGACCAATGATTGAGCTGTGTGCACACATAACATTGGCCTCTACTTGAGTATCTGGCACTGTAGATGTATAGGAATAGTCGTTATTCTGCTTGCTAGAAACAATGTCATATCCTTGTTTCCTCGATCCCAATCATACAACTAACACATAGGCTAAAGCTGAAAGAACATACGCCCAAGATGCACCCGAAGAATTAGCCCTCATATGCTCCCCACTTATTACACTCTTGCCAAACAATCAACCCCTAGAATCGTGTCTCCAGCCATGCATCGCTGACAAGCGCCCACCCATACCTGCAAGTCCACCAACCCCGCCCTCTCCACCACCGAATCCGCTAGGGCTGCCGAAGCCACCACCTCGTCCATGACCACTGCCACCGTTGAGCAGCTTGTCAAATTGCTCAATACTTACAATAGCACGTTGTTTGACATCAGTGTCGACGTCACGTCCCAGCTGCTTGGCACCTTCCTCGAAACCTAGTTGACGGAGACTGATAGCCCGTTCGCGCGTCGCAGCTTCGTCGGTGTGGTCTTCTACCCAAACAAGATTATGCAACATCCACGAGCAAGCTACGCGAACATCGCGACGAGGATGCGTGAAAAGAGGAAGAACATGTTGCATGAGTGTGGTCTGTGAAATAAGGAGGGAGCGGTGTTGAGGTCGGCCATTGGCGAGGTGCACGAGTATATATACGGCAGCAAGAATGAGTTCGGTTGCAGGATATGTAGCCCAGTTCGATTGCCCTGGGTTGTTCGTGGAAGAGGAAAAGGGTGTACGGTGGCTGTTGCTTGGCCAGTAACTGGGGGCACTAGGACTGGTTTGACTTTGGGACAATGATGTGGACAAGGAAGAGTGTTTCGGCCGGATCTTAGCATCGAGAATTTCAAAGAACCGGCTGTGGCCAAACGTCTTGAGGAGGTGATCAATCATTTCACCAGAGGCTTTGTCTTCGGAGACGAAGTTCCGGATGAAGTCGAGCGCTTGCTCTTGTATGCGTATGTCATCGCGCTCACTGTTCAGCCGATGATCCTGTTCATCGTTCTTGATTTGCTGTAATCGATCTCGGATGTTCGTTGCACTCGTGTATCGAGATCCAGGACGTTGATGTCGTCGCATAGACGGTATGCTCTCAGTCATGGCATCGTCATCATCATTTTCCGATGATGGCTCGTCATCCACATCCATGTGAGGCTCGTCGACAGCGTTGAGAATATCGACTTGTTCCCCAGCTGCATTGGGTGTTCCCATAGCAGGCTTGGATGGCTCCCCGTTGAGTACCTGCACGAGCCAGCCTACACCGAGCTCTTCGAGACACTGTATCTTCATAGCATGTGGCAGACCCAGACACAAGTGCTTAAGCGCCCAAAGGCTGCCGAAACGAAGGTCAAAGTTTGCTGATCGACATTGCTCGCACAGAGTTCCTAATACTCCAGATTCAAGAATCTCCTAACATTCACATTAGCTTGAGAACACAAAACGATCAACATTCTACCTACGGTTCGCATGGGAGACACATCCAGTACCAAATTTGTTATGACCTCGGTAGCAGCAATCTGCACTTTGACGTTTGGATGCGTCAAGAGCTCGAAAATTGGCTGTGCAACACCGTGATCGATCAAGCTGGTTCTGAGTACACTGACAGACCTTGAAAGCGATCGTGTAACTTTGCAAGCAGCAATTAGTACCGCATCAGGGTTGCCATCCTTTGCTGAAGAGGATGCCCCTTGCTCATTGGTTCCTCGGTACGGGACCAGAGCTTCGATAATGTGCGTTGCAGCGCCCATCTCAATGACCATCTTCCTTAAAGAATCTTGATCTCCTGCTATTGCCGCCAAGGCCAGGAGAACGCTCTCTCGATATCTGAAAGCATGCAACAAATCCGCACTTAGTCCGGATCTACCTAGTGTCGATGACGCAGGGTCAATACTTGGATCTCTAACTTCGTTAGATGATGACCGTGGTTGCCATAAGGGCTTCGAAGACGTAGCAGGCACATCGAACGACTTCTTGAGGATCTGAATGAGCGTCGGTAGGGTCCGGGTATGGACAGCCGCTGTCTGAAGAGACTTGTTCCCAGCAACAAGCTCAGCAAGCACAACTGGTGAGCGTTCCAACACAAAGCGCAACTCGTCTTTTGCCGCAGGACTAAGTGTACTCGCCTTCTTGGTCTGCTCCGATGTCGGACTTGAGTCTTCAATCATCTTTTCCACCAACGGGATAATCAGATATGAGAAGTGCCTTTCCCTTGTGGTCTTCGAAGGGTCGTTCAGAGGCCATCGCTCGCCAAATTTCTTCAACAACGCTAGTAACCAACAAGCAGAAAGACGCTCTCGTCCTTCGCCTCGACGGGCCACGTACATGAGCCATATGAACAACGGCGACTCAGATTCGTCAGTGATGACACTTCTACTTGAAGTCTGCTGTAACGACTCCATACTTGGCAGACGAGAATAACTATCCCCAGCGGCAGAGGCGTAGGCACCAAGAGCCGGCCATTGTTTGATGTACGGATCTGATTTGCTCGCCATTGTCTGGACCCGCGGAATTAATTTGTCCCAGGACGCCGCCTGTGATGTGTTACTTGCGTCTAACGCTGAGGTGCGTTCCTTCGGCCATCCGAAGAGTTGTTGTATTGAGTGTGAGTAGAGAAACCGAGCAGTGTAAAAGTGTGAGTCCTTGATGACAGCCGAGATTGCCTCCAGAATATCTGGCAGACAGGCACGGGGAAGCCGCTCGCGATTCGACTGCTTCCACTCTGTTGCGGGGATCCGATCGTCCATGGCAGCGACAGTAGCAAGCTTGTCAGCCAAAAGATCCAGTATTCCTGAATCCACTAGCATCTTCTTCTGGTTGTCTTCTATGCACGTCTTCATGATGAGCCGGATCGTCGCCTCAATCTGCTGATTGGCCTTCATCGTTCCAGCTGGTTGCGCTAATATCTCGGCGAGGCTGTCAATGACAAACCTGGTGTATATCGACTCGTTAACGGCGAAAGCGAGAGATGATCGAGAGGATGAGTCGGACGTGTCGAGCCAAGGTTTCTCCTGGTTGACGGCGTCAATGATCTGATTGAGGGTCTTGAGGGTCGTGGTAACGAGTTTCGAGGGCGTCTCGCTAGGCCTCAGCGCTTCAAGCAGTGGAGGGAGGACATGACCTGCTAGAAGCGGGGCGACAAATGCTGGACCGCCTGTGTGTCTCATGTATCAGCCAATATGCTCCTCCAAAGCGTCCTTTACATTGGGCACTCACCATTCGCAAGGCTGCCGACGACGAGCGTGGCCTGAAATCTCAACTCATCCTCGGTAGTCCATTCTTCCATGTCCTTCCTCGAATCGTTGAAGAGCCCGGAGCTGTGTCCATTCGTGACATTCCTCCTCCTCTTCCCACCTTTCCTAGCTTCTGCCCGTAGCAGACCCGCCAGTGGTTTCACAACGCCATGTGTCACTGCTAGTTCTTTCCTCTGCTCATGCCCGACTATCTCGTTTTTGAGGTTCTGGAGTGCTGTGACCTGTGCCTCGGGTGTACTAGGGTTCGAGAGCTCGTTGAGCGCCGGAGGTATCATTGACCGGCCCATGGCGTAGACGGAAAGTAAGCGGGTAATTGGTAATGGGTGTGTACTACAACCGGTTGGCGCAGATTAACGGTCGTCGTGCAGCCTCATGCGAAGAGGTCCAGTACTGGGCGCACAAGCGTGTGACAATGACGGGCGGCGCAATGGAAGCTTCACTGGGAAACTGCGGATTGGGGAGTTGCGAGTATCGTCGGAGCAAGGCGCAAGAGGAGATTATGCTACTGCTGATGCAGCATATAGGCTGCGACAATCAGGTAGTTGTCAGGTGGTATGCCAAGTTTGCAAAGCCAGTCATGCTCAACAGAGTGGTCGCGAGCGAAGAAGTGCAGATAGCCGCGCTCAATTCCGTTGGCGCAACGTCAGAGCAGCCGCGATAAGAGTTATCGCCACGTGATTGCTCATTCACCGGCTTCCCGAGGTCACTCATGCGGACTCGCCCTGCATCTCCTTTAAAAAGCGTAAATGCATGCAATTCATCAGACGTGATACATAACCATAAACTAGCGCCCCGTGAGTACCGTTACAGTCATCAAGCACGTCCCGGAGCCTCCTTCCTGTGCCACCATCCCAACCCAAGACAAAAGAAAATCGTGTCCATCAATACAAAAGGATGCTAAAGCAGACCCAGAAAGATGCAAATGCATATAACCAGTGTCCGGTTCCTACTTTTTACGCATACCCGTAAATCTCAGTGTCATTCTCCTTCACCACGCCCCCTTCCGTAAGTATGACGACAGCCACACATGCCGCATATGCCTCACGAATAGCGCAAGACATACATGTCTCCTTGATGTTTGCCACGATAGCACTATGCCCATGATGCGCACACCACGCTCTTGCAAAGACTTCGTTATCGCTCACGCCTAGAGCCTCTATAACGAGCACATTGGTAACTTGTTCGTGAGCACTCTTCTGCTTTTCGTTCATGAGCGCCAAGGCTTTCTTGCCAGGTGATGATTTAGAGGATGTGGGGCGGGGTATGCGACCGGACTGATTGCCCCAGTCTTGAATGTCGACGAGGCCTTCGTCAATCTTTATGGCTTTGAAGCTGAAATCGTAGAATAGCACTAATGGTGGTCAGCGTATGAACGGTTGTTTATCGAGAGCTGAATGCGTACCGTGAGGGCCTTGATGGCAGGGAAAGGCGTTGATGAAGTCGACGTTATATCGTAACTTCATTGGCCAGCTTTCCCCGCCACATGCGAATGAGATGGCGGCGTCAAAGACCATTGGAGGACCGACAGCGTGCCTCGTCCCTTCAGGCCGCTCTTTGACAGGCATAAAGCGAAGCTTCTCCATTCGTATTAGATCTGTTACGTCTTCCGTGTCCGGCATAGGAACTATGTAGTCGTCTACGGGGTAGCTGTCGTCCGGCGCGCCCAAGGGGCTGGTGCGTTGATCCATGGATTCTACGTCAACCGAAAACAACATGGGATCCGGTGACTCTTGCTGTCTAACTTTCACACACTCGGTGCGTTTGAGATCGGGGGTGTATATGCATGGTCCAATCCAACCTGCAATCTGTTTGACCCCTCGTGCGGCGCCTAGTACCTTGCCAACGATAGATTGCGATGACCAGTACGTATTTGCTCGATACTGAAAGCCGGACGCCGGGTGCATATGGGTCAGATACTTGAGAGCGTCGCCAGTATCCCTATCACAGTCTATCAAGCTGTTCATGATGAGCCAAGGCAATGTCCGACCAGGCAGGATGATGCCTGAAAACCAGGACATGGCATCTGCGGACCGGTCCTCAAGCGCTCTCTCGTCCAAGTCCTGTTCGTCCAGGACATACTCGACTTCATCCATGTTTGGCCACTTTAGTGTCGCCGCAAATTTTCTCAATGCTTCGATTTGTCTACTTTTGCTCCTCAGATCAAAGCTGAAGGTGCTCTGTGTGTTTGATATCCGCGTTTTGGAAATTTCCATATTCTCGAGCCACCGTTGGGCCACTGCCAGGTCCCAGGTAATGATGGCGGGAAGCTGCAGAATGAGCTTTCGCTTAGATTTCTCTGAATGGTGCTTAGAGTGTATCCGAAGGTAAAGTTCGACCGAGAGCAGCAACTGGTGAAAAAACTCCTGTTTCTTGCGCTGATCCGGGCTGTCAAAGAACTTTGCTACAACCTGGTTCTTTGGGTGTGAGAAATCTATCCATTTAGGGTTGCTTAGCACTGTGATGAGATCTGTGATCTGCTGGTCAATCCGAACGTGACGGCGTTCCTCGTCAAACTGCTCCGAATCTTCGATGAGCGTGCCGTACAGGTAGCGGTACAATTCCTCGGGATCCTGCGAAACCAAAAGTTAGGGCCATGTGAACCAAAAGCACTCCGGGCACGACGGTTGACTGACATCTTCATTTAGGCCACTCTCTAGGTTCTGCAACCGATCCAAGATCTGTAGGAGCTTTATCTTCCGCGGCTTTACCTCGCTGGCGAATTGCATAGGAGGGTTACTGCTTCCGCACTTGCTGACCCAATAGTTCAGTGTTGTAGTCCCTGCACTCTTCCCGAACGCATACGCCATGCAAGGATACTCATGAGCAAGCCATGGAAACTGGCTGTCAGATGCACCCGTCATGTTGAGCGAAATGTCTCGGTATGCCTCTTGTTGAAAGGTTGCACGATCTGTTCGGCTCTGATGTTCAGCCTCCATAACGGCATAGAAGCGATCGTAGCCCGCTGGTGCGTTCGCTATCGCATCGCAGTATCCCTTGAACGATGACGCTCCAGCACATATCAGCTCCTCCGCCTGTTCAGGCTCCATTGCATCCTCCGACCTGTATCCCTTTGGCGGCCATCGTCTTGACTTGCGCAAGTCCTCGAGAGGGGACGGTTTTGAATACGATGCGGAGCGATGAGGCGGAGAGAGGCTCTGGTAAGGGGCCATGTGGGCTTCTCCTCCACTAGACAACGGTCGCATGGGGTTTGGCTCCGAGCCATGTCTAGTTATGTGTGTGCGAGTAACTACGGGTGTTGTTCGTGTTCTCGAATGCTTCCCAACCTGCAGTTGCTGGAAACCGTTCGTGAGTTGTGGGAAAGGCTCGGCGAAGGCATACGGTAGGGCACACGGCGCTGGAGGTGCCTCGGGGCGAGACGCGCCCCATTGACTTTCGTACTGGTGTTTGCTACCATCCCAGCGAGCGAATTCCGAGTTCATCTCTTACGCATAGCACTCTTTGTTGGAGAATTACCTGAAACTCTGGTGCAAGTCAGTGGATTGTCGATTGCGAGGTGATGAAGCAGCATGGCGGAACTATCGACGGGCAACGTGAGCACGTGCGATGGTTTCAGACAAGACTGGGAAGTGAAGTCAACGCTGAGCAGAAACACAAGGCGGTCGATTGGGTCCATAGGCTCTCGTGACATATACACACTCACCCTCATAGTACTATAGTCGCGCTACTGCCGCCGTCTCGAGAGTAAGACGCGTCTACCGCGGGTCCGAGTGAAGATCACGTCTGGATCGCGAGGTTCTCGGGGTAAGCGCCGGCACACGATCTCTCTGATGTGACCTCGTAAAGGAAGACGCGTGGAGTGTGTAGTGGGGGTGGGGAATGAAGGACAGACGGTTTCAGGTCATTCCAGCTGTTGGGTCAGGGTCACTAAGCCGACAATGTTGACGGAGGTTGCGCATACCATACTTCGGCTCTCCTTGCGCCGTGGCATTTGCAAGAACCTCCGTCATCACAGCAAAAGTGCTTGATGACATGTATAGTTACGCCATAGGGGTGAGTGTTAGCCTCACTCTTTCGGCAGCCGTGCGTCTTACGACTGGGATGTGCCAGTCGCCGCATTTTACTCGTCCACGTTACTCACGATGCATGCTCCTAGCGGCTTGACCGTGGTGCACTCGTCAGAACGCTCTTCACGGGACAACAGCACGCTTTTGGATACGGGTTTGATTATTTGATTCCGCTAATACTTTCAAAATAATAGAAGTGCTGCTAAACTCCTGCACCCGTCTCATGCGTTCTGCGCTCAGTCGATTATCAGACAAGCGATCACGCAAATGCTATGTTCTGCTGCAATCCAAGCTGCCCCGTCGCTTTAGGGGCCACTGTTGGCAGCTACCATTTGCACCGCAGCGAACAAATCGTGGCGGTGGCACATTGGGTAACTGCCTATGACGGTGCTCTTTGATGGCACGAGCCTGAGATGGTGTAGTGATGTGCCTCCGGCAGCTCAAAGAGACACCTCGTTGGCGGAGACTCTCTAGGAGATAGATAACTCTCCTGCCGAGTCAGGTTTGCCAGCTCATCATCATTCAGCTAGTCGTCTCCTGAACCTTCCACACAAAGGCGGCCACGGTGTGGCTTGGTGTTGGAAATAGATAAGACAACCCACGACGTCGTCTCTGCGATCTCATAATAACGACACGAGCCCCAAGAGTCGAGCTGCTAACGTCATCTGGAAGAACTTCGTGAGCTGGCTAGGGATTGTGGCATGATGCTGCTCAACCATCGTGTGCCTCTGTTATTATACGCCTGATTGATTGGTGTGTATGCCTGTCGCAGATCCGGTGGGATTGGGCATCTGGGTTGAGCTGACAGTCGGTCCTGATTCCGGCTCTTTCTCTACAACGTATCCAGTCCCACGGTCGACCAGGCCTTTGTAGTAGTCTACGAGTACCTCTGGCTTTGGAACAATGCGCCATTCAAGCCTCCGCAGAAACTCGAGCTCTAGTAGCGCCAGTTCACGAACACTGACGCCGCCAACCCTTGCGTACAGGCTGTTGGTCCAGAAGCTATCACTAAGGCCCTTGGCCGCGACCGTAGCAGCAGTTATGAGGAAGCGATGCACGGTAAGGCTGCTGATTGTAAAAGCGGGGTACATGGCGCACAGCTTGTCTACGTAGAAGACCATGGAGAGGAGAATGGGCGGAGACAGCGTAGCATGCACTATAAGGCGAGAGAGGTAGTCGCGTACTGAGATGCCAGGCGGGGCTCTAAGGGGTCAATGTCAGCGAGCATTTGTTCAGTCAGTCTTGCGTAAACGCACCTCGAATGGAATCTTGTGAGCGTTCCATCCCGCAGCGGATAGCCGTCGTTCAGGCGCACCAGCTCCATAAGCATGTCGGAGATGAGCACGCCGAGGTCTTTCACATCGCACGTCTCATACTGGAGAGGCATGACCTTGACGTCGGGCTCCTGCGGCCTTGCTCTCTTAGCTGGCGAGGCCGGGACCTGCAGGACAGTGCTGGACTCTTTGGACACGACGGCCGGCTCTGCTTCCGAATGCGCGCTCTCGTGCGACATGCGGCGCCCCTGGGGCTGTACATTGTAGGCGGGCGTCACGGGCTGCGGAGTAACCCGCACTTGGGGCTCGGGAGGCTCCGTGACGACAGGCGCGGCGGAGGTCTCCCCCCGCTGTGCAGGCGCAATTGCGGGAGCACTCGAAGACGTCGAGCCGGCTTCTTTGTGGTCGCGGTCGTGGTCGTGGTCGTGGTCGTGGTCGAGCGCGATGGTGTCGGCGCCGTTATCGGCGCTGGTGTTGTCGCTGGGCTGGGGCCGGTAGGTGGGGGGAAACCCAGAGGGCGAGTATTGTGTTCCCTTGTCTGCGTAGCTTCTCTTGCGGCCCTGGGGGGAAGGCGCAAAGGTGGGCACTGGGGACGGCGCCGAGAAGGTGGGCTTTGGGGTGGGCGGCGCGTCGAACCGCCGTGAGGGTACGGTGGTCACGGCAAAGCGGGGCGAGTGGGCGTTGGAGGATGCCGATGTGCGTCTCGAGGCATGGTACGGGCGGTGGCTAGGCGTGTGGAAGGTCGTGTTCGGCGAGGGAGGTTGCGAGATTGTGGGTGAGGAAGTGATCATGTCGTTGGGCCGGGTAGCGGTTCCTAGAGTGGAGGAAGATGACAATATCGGATCATTTTGGCAACGTGGGGAAGAAAGGAACCATCGAGGGCGGACGCGGAAGAGGCTTCATCTGGCGTGAGCGTGGCAGCGATGTAAGGGCTTGGCTGGCGGGCGTTCGACGATAGCACGTGTGACGTCCGGGGATTTTAGTAGGCTACCAGGCCAACCTTGCACATCCATCGCGTCCAAGGTTGAAACAGCATACCTCGCCGCCGCTGCCTCTTCCTATTCTGCCCATCCGCAAGCAACTTTCACCGCATTTCCCTGCCCATTGTGTGTAGGGGCGTCGGCCCTGTGCGCCAGCATGCTCGTCATTGCCGTGCGGAGCTGCTGACCGCCAATGAATTGCAACTAAGCCCTACACATGGAGGGAAGATCCTCTCATCAAAATTTCCAGAAGATGACGACCGATCGTTAGCTTCCGCGCTCGCTAGTTTAGACTCGAGTAGTCTGGAGAGATTTTGCTCTTGCCAACCTGCACCATTGATCGGAGCATCCAAGCCCGGGTACCCATAGCGCCACCGTCGTATATCTTCATCAAGACTACACAGGCTCCCCGTCTATCTCACCATGCACCCAAAGCCTGGCAAGGGTCATACGCATGGCGGCCCATCAAGAAGCAACTATTCTATCCTGACGCGCCTGGGTACCCACCTGTCCGCGACTCGTCCAACTCGCAACCTTATATTAGCTAATCCGCGGCCCCTCTGCTGCTATCTACTTGCGATAAACTGGTACCTCAATGTCGCTAGCCGTTGGCTGCCGGAGCACGTTGTACAATGCCACAACGTCACTCGACGACATTTGAGCCGCTTGGCAGGGTTTACCAGAAAAAGGGCCGAAATCCGTATAATGTGATCATTGCAGATACAATACGTGAATATGCTCGTTGCTGTATGGTTCACCGTGAGCCAGACCGATCTTATAGCTGCCGAGAGTTCCGGGTCCAGTCTAGTCTCAGGTCGGTGTGTGTGTGCAACATGGACTACCTCTACTTATAACGTTTCATACTGTATCACGCTTTCCACACGAGTCTTTTTTTCCTCGGCAATGCACTACACTATTTCAAATAGTATCAACGAACATTGCGTACAGAAATAGGATCATAATTCATATCTACATCATCCACTCAACCTCTCGGCTTGTCACGCCCAGGTGCTTCCAGTTCGGCCGAGAAGGACTGCTGTTCCAGCGGCGGGCTGTGCAATTCTGCTACAACAGGTTGCGTGTTCATCTGTGCATACTTTAACTGGTCAATCCTGCACACAATGGTTAGCTTGCACGTCCGAGCCAGGTTTACTCTACACTCAAGACCACTTACTGTTGTTGCGACATCCCACTGGCACTGCTCATCATACTCAGATGACCATGCTGCTGCCCAGGACTCGACCAGCCAGATGGATATTGCTCCCCTACACTATGCTGCCCGTATTGTGGTGGCGAGTTGAACCCATAGTCTGAATGATGTCCTGGTGGCGGTGTAGCATAACCTGGGGTTGACGGCTGGAAGCCTGGCGACGCAAGCCCTCCATGACCGTAACTCGAGCCGCCGTACTGCTGGCTCATATGTGGGTCGTGGTTGTTCGCAGCGTCTTGTCGCTTGATGACCTCCTTTAGTGACTTGGATCGACCAACGAAAAAGAAGAGAGCGGCGCAGATTGCTAAGAAGGCCACCCCGCCCACTGCTATGCCAACTATAGCGCCAGTGGACAGGGTATGACCGCCACCATTGCCTCCGCTAATTGGCGTAGTGGTCCCAGTCGATGTGGGGGCATTGGAGAGTGTTGGTGTTGCTTCAGCAGGAATCGGTTCGCCAGGTGCTACTTGAAAGTCTGCCGCAGCCGCCGCGTGAACTTGCGATGCCAGAGTTTGTGTCGAGTTTGGATTGATGACGCCTACCATGTGTTCACCCAGACATGAATTTGGTGCTGCGCAATAGAAAAAGATGGGTTCCGTCGAGTTGATCGTAACGTTGAAGTACGTGAGCTAAAGACCTGTCAGTATATTCGTTGTGTCTTCCACAAGGAGACAAACCTCATCGGTGTTGTTCACCCATTGCGTCTCCGACCAAAAGCCAACCTTGTCTTTCCCAGTGTATTCATACGGTACACAGGCTGACTGCCATTCTGCCCTCGCAACCGAATGGTCTGGTGGATAGAACTCCCATGTCACGATGTCGCCGACCGAGACGTTATGAAGTTCTGGTGGGTCAAATTTAAAACCTCCGGAGCCAGCCTTGATAGTATGAACTGTTGGTTCGCCAGAGGAGGTTGGTGTTGCGCTTGACGAATTTACTGACTCCGAAGCTGTGGGCGTTGGTGATGGCGATTGAGAGACTGATGAAACAAGGTCTTGTGCGATGGCGAATTGAGAGAAGCTATCGCTAACAGCAATCGTAGCTGCTAGCCTTGCTGTCCATGAGCGTCTCATGGCGACAATTGTACGAGGATCAGGCAAGTACAATAGCAAGAACCGACTTCCGCGCAGAGGTCGTGATTTCCCCACGGTCCCGGGTTCCTGGTCGTCGGAAAAAAGAAGACAGTATAATACCAGCAGTCCAGCTGGCAATGGAGTGCTCAAAGAGGGGGAACAGAGCGAGATCAACACCGCAGGCTGACCGACAACCTTAAGTCACTCTTTCGCCCAAGATCCAATACCGCCATTTTCAGCCCCCACAGCCGCAGGTGCGGATAGCGGACCAGGCGATAGGCCACCCTCCTGTATCCACCATCATAAGCAGTCTTTGTTCGTCCCCTTTCACCAATCAACACAATCCATAATGCCGATCTAGCAGGTACGCCCTTGTGCAGGCGCACCTGAGGCTTACAGCTATCGCAGCTAGATGCTGGTAGATTCACCAGCGGGGCGGACCATCAGCATGTCAGCAGGGAATAAGAAAGACGGTTGAGGGGAGGTTGGATATGTGTAACGGTAGCTAGCGCTGATGCTGGTCCACGGGTACTCGAGCTATTTCCGTGTCAACTCTTCCTTGACTGCGCCTCTCGGTGCATGACTATTGACAATCTCTTTCCAGCCTGATCGTATGGAGCGCGTTTTGTTGGCCAAGGGCGCGTAGCAACTCTTTTACGCGGGGTGTATTCGACGATTTGTGCTGTTGGCAGATGTCATGCCTTCTAGTTCTTCCTTGTGCACGAGCTGGCATGCGGTGGAGCACAGCTGAGTTGTCGTCAAGGAATGAGCATCGAGCATTTGAGCCACTAACCCTGAGTAAGCTTAGTGCTGGTAAAAAACCTGGGCCCGTCCACTTGGCGCATTCATGGCTTGGGCGCAGCATGCTGATTGAAGATGGCCATGCGCTACGTGTGCGGAGCAATTGCTACGGTGGGTGGAGGATCATGCGAGCGTGGAGGGAAGGATGCCAGGCGTAGGGCTAGATAGCGGTTGGCATCATGATTAGCTGCTTCGCAAGCGAGGCAGGCCGAACATCCTGAAGCGGACAATTGCACCGAGATTTTGCATCGCATCTGCAGAATTGTCAATACATCTTCACTCATCACTCTGTTCATCATCGAACACATGCCTCTCAAGGCGCAGTCGCCCTCTAGAAGACGCGTATTATCGATATCTACAGGTTGAGCAATCCAAAGCGCGTACTCAACACACATGAAATGAGACATCGCTTCCATAGTACAATTGAAGAGAGATACTATTTCCGCCAAAGCGCGAGCGCGTACCGACATATCGCAGAAACACCAGGCCATGCAATGGACACAATTGATGCCAGCTCATAAAGGCGGCCTTTTGATAGGACTCCTTGGACCAGGACTCGCACTGAACAAGCCCATTTGTGGCATCTTAGGGCTCTTTAGTATAGCACCTTCTTGCCTATTTTCAGGGTCAAACTGCTTAGGTGTTTGTGACGCGCTTGGTAAAGGTGGACTTCGCAATCCCGTGGCTATGTGCTGTGGTCCCTCGTCGGTACGGCTGGAAAGGTCATTCATCTCGTCAAATTCGCCCTATTAGATGTTAGTCCAAATAGTACGCTTGCCTCCTACATAGGCAGGGAAGTATTGGATGTCGGCTCAAGGCTACATGTGTAGGCATTAGGATACCAGATGCTGTTGCTAATTTCCCCTTGGGTGCTGTAGGCAACAAAAAGAGAAAAAGAACGTACTGTTGAAACGTCAGTCTGATGTCTGAGCTGTCTTCAAAGTGACTACCTTACCCTTTTTTCCCAGAAGGAGGTTCTGTACCTCCTCCAGATGCTGCTCAAGCATGTCGTCTAGGCCATCTTTGGGTGATTGGACAAGATTGCCAAGCTTCTTGCGCATCTTACGTTGGCGACTTGGATTCCAGACGAAGTGGCTGTTCTTCACAAAGATCATGGAATGCTGCAAATGTTAGCTGATGCCACGATGGTATCTGTCAGGCTGTGGTGCTAGCGGGGTTGCTGTTGATGAGGACCACTGTGGTAGTCTCTATGATGTGATCCGTGATCGTACTTACTGAGTAGTACCAGCTTGATATCGTGTCGTCCGTGGCTCGCTTTATCGATTGAATGGTCGTTTCTCCGACAAAGCCGATCAAGCACTCGACTGGACTATCGGGGTCGGTACAGTTTTCTATTGAGTCAGCAACCTGGAAAAAACTGCCGGAAACGGGAAATGACGCTTACCATTGTGACTCAGTAGGTCGACCAGTCCAAGATATGCGTCTCCGATACCCATGAAAAACACTTGTGTTGCATCGTTTGGTCTGGTATGACGTCAAAAAGTAGTCGCGAGCACTGTCTAAGAAACTTACTCGATGTAGTTTTCCCATAGGTATGCTGCAAGTTCGCGAGTTTGCTGTGCTCGAACTGCAGAATCTTCGGATTTCATGTAGCCGATGATCGACTGAAGTCATTAGCGGAGTTTCCTGAGGTAAGCATATTGCAGTCTCACATCTTCGATTGTGACGACTTTCGGAATATTGACATCGATGACCTGGAAGTCATT